AAACCAACTCATTGGAATTTGGTGAAAAAGGGGGTCGATGGAAGGATGGTCTAAACCGTTGGTTTTCGACCTCGTTCAAAAGAAACATTTGCGGTATAATTGTCAAATTTCGTCCTACAATCATAAGCTGCATTATATTATATTATAAACTATTGTAGGGGGTCGGTGGAAGACTGGTTAAACCGTTTGGTTTTCACCCGCTACGACCCGGGTTCGGCTCCCGCATTGGGGAATTTTATTCTGATTAAAAAAAAAGCTCAAATGGCCCCCAATTCTTGCAAAAGTCCAACTCCACCAGCGAGTGCAAGTTGCCAAACTCTGGTACATTTGTTAGCGCAAAGTCGAACTGCTTTTCACATGTATAGACAGACATGTGGTGCGCTTACAGTAAAAGCAGTCGCCTAGCTATACCCACCATGATTATCATGGACTGTACCACGTGTACTAGGGATTAGCAAAAAAAAAAAAAAACGTGAAAAATTATCTTATAATAATCTAACTCAATAAATAAAAAAGTTTCTTTCCGGTCTCAATTTACAAAACTTCTAACTTTCTCTTGATATAACCCGGATTCCTGCAATGTACTAAAGTCGCCAACTATCCGGGTTGGTCTTTAGACTTCACGTGTAATGGCAGCAAATACAAAACCTAACAACAAAAAGCTTTATTAAGACTTTCCAGTCTTATACAGATTTTCCGAGTAGAAATGCAGGGTACATGAAGGAGTAACAATAATAGTTCCAAAACCTAATATACACGGCCACCTATAACAGATGGTTTGAAAAAAAAAAGCTCCGTAAGTACCCGAGTAGCATCTTGAAAAAAAGGCTCTCAATATTTTTTTTATTTTGATAATTTCATTTCACCATACCTAGTCTCCCCGAATTTTTTTTTACAGCCTTAATTGGGATTGAAAGATTCTCATTATAAAAATATTAATAACAAAATATAAAGAACCTACAATATACATGTGTTGGTCACTTGATTCAGAAATTATTTTTTTTTAATAATTCTAACTAAAAAAACAAACTCGTAGACAACAGTAAATAGAAAACCTTTCTTTTCCCCATTCTTCAATTAAAAAAAAAAAAAGTCGGTGGACGAGTGGGTAAAACCCTCGATTCCTCCTGACAGTCATGAACTGGGATTAAATCCCGCGTTAAATTATAATAATGCAAGAGCCAAATACAAATTATTTTTCAAACGTATAAACATTTAAATAATTCCTAATATCCTATGATAATTTGTGATTATGGACTGATACAATTTTACACGCATGGACAAAACTTAAGGAAGTTTTACCCCCTTTTAGCATGTACACGCATGAACAAAAATTACGGAAGTTTTACCCCCTTTTAGGATGTACACGCATGGACAAAATTTGATATCCCCGTCGTCTATTTTTTTAAGGAGGTAATTTTGTTCACACGGTTATCTCGTGTGTCTTCAATAAAGGTCATTGTGTATCAAAAATCTTTCAGAGTAATTGGTAATTGTCTGAATGAAAATTCAAAATTATTATTGTTGCGTATGATTCTTTTAAAAATAAACAATTACTACTGCCCTTACTGCAATGAAAAAAAATAATGGGAGGGCCAGGCTTATCAGTGGTTTCCATCGCAGTAAGGGCAGTAGAAATTGTTTATTTTGTAAAAGAATCATACACGTCTATAATAGTTTCGAATTTTGATAACAGATGGCGCGTTAATGCATCATAATATAATTGTCTGAATCCTGATATACACGATAAAAGGTACAAAGAGTTTTGTTCCTTTAAATAGTAAGACAGAATAGTTAGAATAGTAAGCAGTAGTAGAGAGAGAGGGTATAGTTATGAAATAATACAATTATATACATTAAAATGAAGACATATTTTGGATCACAGTTAAACCTGTCTAAATTGTCCTTTAGGGAGAGGTGTCATCTTACCGAATAGTTTCTAATTACAGTTGAACCTCCCTGTAAAGGACAACACCTAATTGCAGAGCCAAAGTGTCCTTTAGGGAGAGGTGTCTTCTTACCGAATAGTTTCTAATTACAGTTGAACCTCCCTGTAAAGGACAACACCTAATTGCAGAGCCAAAGTGTCCTTTAGGGAGAGGTGTCCTCTTACTGGAGAGTTGCTAATTACAGTTGAACCTCCCTGTAAAGGACAACATCTAATTGCAGTGCCAAAGTGTCCTTTAGGGAGAGGTGTCTTCTTACCGAAGAGTTTTTAATTACAGTTGAACCTCCCTGTAAAGGACACCTAATTGCAGATCCAAAGTGTCTTTTAGGGAGAGGTGTCTGCTTACCGAAGAGTTTCTAATTACAGTAGAACCTCCCTGTAAAGGACAACACCTAATTTCAGAGCCAAAGTGTCCTTTAGGGAGAGGTGTCCTCTTACCGGAGAGTTTCTAATTACAGTAAAACCTCCCTGTAAAGGACAACTAATTGCAGAGATAAAGTGTCCTTTAAGGAGAGGTGTCCTTTTACCAGAGAGTTTCTAATTACAGTAGAACCTCCATGGTGTCATTTAAGCCATAGGATATCAGATTGCATGGTTTCGTTATAAATAGGATGGACAGCACATGTACCGGAGTTTTGGGTTGGCCTTCCCATTGTATTGTAAGTAACGTTCTAGGTATTGAGTAACGCTATACGGGCAACGACTTCAAACTACCGAAGACTTGGGAAAAACATTTTATACGTGGTGTTTTTAAATATCTTTTTATGACGACATAAGTATTTTATTAAGAGATTTCGTCATGCGGGCCCCAAGGAAGAAAAATCAAACAATTGTAGAAAGTATCATTAACAGGTAATTATTATATTAATTATCACGGGTTTGCTATTTCGACAAATTACAAAAAAAGGCACAAGACGCCTCAACTCTTTTTTTATTTTCATGGCCAAAGAATCCCTCGGGCAAACCCTTCTTCAGCCTACTGAATAATTGATTCAAAATGTATTATTTATTTGGCTTAAGAGGGACTTGATAATAAAAAAGAGTTGAGGCGTCTAATGCCTTTTTTTTTTTGTAAATCATCTATATACCATCTTGGTGAAGGGGCATAATAAACACTATGTGTCTTCTAGTCATCTTATTTTCCAATTTTTGACGATATTCTCAGCTTCTCTGCAGAACTGGTAGTACAAGTAGCTCCCATCGGCTGTTCGACTTTCGCACTTATAATTGTACCAGAGCCTCGTTTTGTTATTTGCACTCACTGGTAGGGTTGAACTTCTTCAAGAATCGGTAATTTTAATTCAGAAAAGAGTGCCCAATGCAGGATTCGATTCCAGGTCGTTGATGTCGGAAATCAACGGTTTATGCCATTTTTGTCCAACAACCTCTTACTTTAAATCCATCAACTGTGGTTGAATATCTCCTGCTGCCGCCCCTCCTGGCTTCCTTCGGCGCTCGTTGGTGGATAGCCGAATCCTGGGGTGTTTGTACCAGTGATTTTGTTTTGCTTGGTTCAGCCATGAGTTAGGGGAATAGAAGACCAGAATAATACAATATAATGCGGCTTATGATTGTAGAACGACATTTGAAAGCGGAACAGTGTGAGTTCGATTCCCATCCCTGGACACTTTATTTTTCCGTTTATCATTACTCTTCACAATTCATCCTTTAATACTTCATCCCTATTATCAGAAATAATCGTTATTTTTCCTTAAAATAAATTTCGATTTTTCATTTAAAATAAATACATGCGGTATAATTTTTAAATGTCGCTCTACAGAAGACCAGAATGTTGGCCAATTATCCCGAAACAACAAAATGCCTGAATATTAGAACAATGACTGACCATCAATTTCATTTTTTAGCAGAATAAGTGTTTTTAGAATATAATTATAACGACAAAAGCCTTATAGACCTGACACTGTCAACCTATTCCATTTTAAACTTAAAGTTTGGATTAAAAGCGTGTCTTGTTCCAGTTGGAGATTCTGCGAAATATAAATGAAAGACTCATAATCCAGAATTCTGAAGCACATATCATGTTTTTAAAAAACATAATTTATAAATTGAATCAACGACTTATTCTAGAAAAATCTTAAAATTCCTGTTCATTGATAAGCAGGTGATGGATATGGGAGAAAACGTTATCTTATCCTTTATCAGAGTTTGTTCAATGTCAGGTGGCATGATTGACGTCTGGACAGTTTTCTAGGAATTCATATTCCAGGCTTTCATTAACTGGACATCTTTAATCACCTTTTTTATGAAACAATAATATACAAAACAACAAAAATACTTAAGAACACCCGTCCCATACAGGATTCTCCCAGATAGGTAAGCAGAAGTAAACATAACAGTTATTTACAGAAAGTGGAGATTGACATCGACCTTTCTTTAAGTTGGATCCATCATCTGTGTTGCGCCCATTGTGCTTGTGATTATCATGGCCACGTGTACTAGGGATAAGCAAAAAAACTATCCTATTGACTATAATTCAATAAGAAAATATTGTGAGTTCATCAATGGTGAACCCTCCCAGCGGTTTCACAAGTTTAGTCTTACAAGACGGCTGTGATGATGCTTGCTTGTAAACCCTATATTTTAGAGGAATTGGTGGAAGGAGGTATTTAGAATTACATCGAGTGTGTTGTTTTGTCTTTTTTCCCATTAAAGACGATATTAAACCCCTGTAGGCATTGCTTTCCTATATATATACAGTTAAACCTGTCTATAGCGCCTTCTTGGGACTCACCAAAATAGGGTGCTATAGACAGGTCACTTTTAATGTAAATCGCATCGTACTATCTATTTAAAATCGGGCGCTAAAGAGAGGAAGGCGCTATAGAGAGGTTTAACTGCATATATATAGTTTGGCTCTAGAAAATATATATATATATCTTCTGAAAGAAGAAATATTTTTAAAAGATTATGTCAAATGTGTGTGTGTATATTAAATACTTTGTAGATTATCAGATATATATATCAACTATTAATTGTAAAGGTCTTCTTTAGATTTCTATTTTCATATATTATATGCATATATATATATGCAACTTTCATTTTGCTCATAGTCCGATCACCGAAGTTAAGCAATGTCGGGCCCGGTCAGTACTTGGGAGGGTGACCACCTGGGAACACCGGGTGCTGTAGGCTATTACCTTCGGACTAGAAGACCATTATTTTATGGCCAATTAGTCTCAACAACAACAACATTTTGCTCATAAGTTTGCATGAGATAGCACGCCTGCATATATAACCGACTCGCTGCAAGAACCTGGGTTAACCAAATAAATAGATAAACCGTTTTATGTTTTCACTTTTTAATATCATTCATCACATTCTCGTAGATTTTAAAAACGTGTAACTAATTTTAACTTTAAGAAAGAAAAAGTTGCACGATAAGAGATGCCTTTTTTCTTTATTAATTTATCCACCTTATCCCAGTACAATATCACATTTGTACTATGTTTTTTTTTATTATCCCTAGTACATGTGATACAGGCCAAGATAATCATGGTGGGTAGAAGTAGGCGACTGCTTTTACTGTAAGCACACCACATGTCTACACATATGAAAAGCAGTACGACTTTTGCACTAACAAATGTGCCAGGGCCCGATTTGGTTACTTACACTCGCTGGTGGGGTTGGACCTTTGCAAGAATCGGGGGCCATTGGAGCATTTTATTTTTTTTATCAGAAAAAAGTGTCCAATGCGGGAATCGAACCCGGGTCGTAGTGGTCGAAAACTAACGGTTTAGACTATCCTTCCACCGACCCCGCAGTACTATGTTTTCACAATGTATGACCTTGTTTATCTATTTATTTCCCAAGTATGTATATGGTGTAAGGCCATGATAATCATAGTGGGTAGTTAACGACTACACTTTATTGTAATTGGCACTACATATCTATACATGAGAGATAGAAGAAAGGTAACCCGGGCTCCTCTATACATGTAGAAACTACTGTTTAACTTACAAGATACCCGAGCCCCCCGTTAAAGCTACTTGCATTCACTGATGGGTCTGATCTTTCCAAGAATGAGGGGTCATTGAACGAAGAAGAAGAAAAAAAATCTTAATGCGGGATTCGTACCCAGGTCATGATTATCGAAAATGGCGTATGTCATTCTTTCAACAACCCCCATGAATTTGTCTTGGAATAAGAATCACTTCGGACAGTAGAATTTTTAAAAACCCTACTGGTCGAAATGTCTATTATTTCAAGAACAATGAATGCCAGCTTAGACAACCTCTATCCCTGTCTTTGTTGAATCAGTTTGTAATCGACAGTTTTAGGCAAATTGAATGAGGTGTTTTTTTTTGCTTATCCCAAGTACACGTGATACAGGCCATGATAATTATAGTGGGTAGAGGTTGGCGACTGCTTTTACTGTAAGTGCACCACATGTCTACACATGTGAAAAGCAGTTCGACTTTGCACTTACAAATGTGCCAGAGCCCCGTTTGGTTACTTGCACTCGCTGGTGGGGTTGGACTTTTGTAAGAATCAGGGGCCATTGGAGCATTTTTTTTTTAAATCAGAAAAAAGTGCCCAATGCGGGAATCGAACCTGGTTCTTAGCGATCGAAAACCAACGGTTTAGACCATCCTTCCACCGACCCCTCTGAATGAGGTGTAACACGCCTTCTATTTATGAATATTCAAAACATTTTATTTTTTATATTAATATAATCAACAAAAGTGTATCTAGGGTTAAGTTTCGTGTACAATTTTTATTTCTCAAGACTTCAGACGAGTCCGTCCTTCGACGGTAGTAACACAATAATTTTATTTTTCTATCTCTTTATTCAAAAATATTATGGTCTGAAAAGTGAAGAAATTATAGCGATTTGTGCAAATGCTATATGAATGTTTGTAGATTTAAGATGGAAGGCCATACAGTCGGTAGGTAAATGTTATCAGATATCTACAACTGGCAAATGATTGCTTACAAGATATGACAGATCTCATCAATTATCGGTGAAAGGTTGAAAAAATCAACATTCGACAACAGATAAGAAATTTATATTCTTATAATTACAAGGCATGCAATCATACTGAATGTATTCAGTACTTTTGTTTGATGATGGTAACAACGCTGTTAACGAAATGTAAAACAGTTGCCCGGCCATCCTTGCAGCCCTCTTTATGACAGACATCAATCCTGAAAAGGGCATTCATACGAACAAGGGACCTTTGTTGGCTGGTATTGTGATCAGGGTGCACGGACCGATTTGATCTGCTCCATGGACAAGACACCACCTCCACCTCAGTTGGCCGGTATTGTGATCAGGGTGCATGGACCGATCTGATCTGCTCCATGGACAAGACACCACCACCACCTCAGTTGGCCAGTATTGTGATCAGGGTGCATGGACCGATCTGATCTGCTCCATGGACAAGACACCACCACCACCTAGGTTGGCCGGTATTGTGATCAGGGTGCACGGACCGATCTGATCTGCTCCATGGACAAGACACCACCACCACCTCAATTGGCTGGTATTGTGATCAGGGTGCACGGACCGATCTGATCTGTTCCATGGACAAGACACCACCACCACCGAAACTTAAAACACTATTTATTTTGATTTGGTCTTATTACCTTGTGTTTCTAATCTATAATACAAATTTTATACTTTATCATATTCTTATAATCATGAAATGCTATTATTCGGTTCCAAAATAACTTTACTAGGTTCCACTCAAAAAGAGCAACCTAGCTTAAGAAATTTACAACATATTCATATATTGAAACAAGGTGTCTAATGCGGGATTCAATCCTGGTTCATGACTGTCGGGAATCGAGGGTTTTAACCACTGGTCCACCGACGTCTCTCTATGCATTTATTCAATATTGAACATTCCGTATTGAATATATAAAACTTATTAGAACGGTTTCTTTCTACAAATAAACAACCCCCTACTAAAATTATGGAAGATACAACTTTTAACAAATACTGTTAGGCATCAGATAATGCACCTTCTTTTGTGATTATGACATATCGAATTCTCACTGCCCCTCTCGGATTCTACAAATTATTCAAGTCACTTCGGCCAGAAAAAAAAAAAAAGTTTATTTCCTCGATTTTTCGACAAAAATCTTCTGTTCTCGACAGAAAAAAAACGAGAAAATAAAACCTTTTCTGGCCGAATTGTTTCTTATTTTAAAGAACTATCACCTGCCAGGCAACCTCTGATAGTGTGATAGTTAAGTATGCAAAGATATGAACATATTTTGCATATCCGTTAAAAAGAATTTTGTATACTAACCCAGAAGGCGTCTATACCCACTGGGAATCGGAACAATGCGCACAACTGATTCTAAATTCAAGATATTATTATGCATAAGACGAAAGATCTTAATAAGAACTTATGTATATATGTATCATATGCAAATTTCCATATATTCATTATTTTATTTTTATTTTTGAAATTATCATTAAAATCCGGGTATGAGACTACAGTTAAAACTGTCTATAGCGCCTCCTCTAACGCCTTCCTCTCTATAGCGCCCGATTTTAAATACGTAGTACGATACGATTTACATTAAAAGTGACCTGTCTATAGCACCCTATTTTGGTGAGTCCCAAGAGGGGGCGCTATAGACAGGTTTAACTGTATCTTGATTAGGTGATTGTGTCTATATCATCTACCTTATCATTGAATGTAAATAGCATTTTTTCTGTAATCATTTCCTTCGCAGAGAGACTCTATATGGTAGATCCATAAGATCCATCTTGATAAAAGCTTGCTCCTGGCGTGTAGAGTTCGCATGGTGCACGTGGGAGAAATGAATTGTTGAAGACTTGCTCCAGGAATACTAATTACATCAAGAGAGAGAGAGAATAGAGGCTTCCATGTGATTATAAACATGTTTGTTGAGAGTTTAAATTCTAATCAGATCGGGTATTCCATTATACAAATCGAGATAAATATCAATAAAGTGAATTTGTGTTTAAAAAATAATTTAGTAATTGCCAAGTCATACCTTAGATTATAAAATAATTGCAAAGGTACGAAAGTAATTTTTTTAGAAGACATGAATATATAGTTAAACCTGTCTATAGAGAGGGGATGCTATAGACAGGTCACTTTTAATGTAAATATGGCATCGTACTACATATTTAAAATCGGGCGCTATAGAGAAGGAGGCGCTATTTAGAGGAGGCGCTATAAACAGGTTTAACTGTATTGGCGCGTTTTACCTAATATAAGAGCTTTTTGGTTTTTAATATTTGAAAATAATTAGATAATTTTAACAGAAAAAAATCTCCAGCGCGCTTTGGCATTTACGCCTCTAACAAGTATATTTGTATACTGAGGAGAAAAAAAGAATAAGCGAAGAGATAATAGAAAAGAGTAAAGACAAAACTATGATAGTAATTTCCCAATAATAAAATACAAGCTAAGGGTTGAAGAAAAAACATTAAAAACACACATATAATATATCTCTTATAGTTTAAATTTATCTTAATTAATCATTATAATCGTAAAGATAAAGGCTGCCTGGGGCCGGCATTCAAAGTTCTTTAAAATTAAAGATACTTCGGCCAGTATATCTTTTTTTTTGTCTCTACGTTTCGACAAAAATCTTTTGTTCTGGTCAGGGGCGAACAAATTTTAACGCTTTGCCAAATGTTTTAATTTTTGTTCGCTCCTGACGAGGACAAAAGATTTTTGTCGAGACAATAAAAAAGATTTACTGACCGAAGTATCTTTAATTTTAAAGAACTAATCATTATAAATTTGAAAAAGTGTTTTTTACTATGGTGATGAACACAAGTACATCGTTCTTATTCATTATTAAAGGAAGAGGTATCTCTCTTTTGGTACATATATAAAATCAGATTATTTTAAACTTGGGTTGAAGTTAGATTTATCAAAAATATTTCCTTGATAAAAGCTATAGCGGTTTCCTGATATCAAAAATCATACCATTTGGTTAGTAACCCGTAAAACCATATTTTCTCTCTATAGCGGTATACTGAAATGTCTCGAAATAAATAAATCAAAATTTTAAATAAAAAATTTAACTCAATTAAACCTTTCTATGAAAAATAGACACTTCGGCCAGTTAAGAGTTTTTTTTTATTTTCTCAACGTTGACAAAAATCTTTTGTCTTCGTCAGGAGAAGTATTTTTAACGCC